AGACCATTAAACCAGTAGTAGTATAGTAGTAGTATAGTAGTAGTAGTTAGTAGTAGTAGTTGAGTAGTAGTAGAAAGAACATACGTAGTAGTAGTTAAAACATAACGAGTAGTAGTAGTAGTAAAAATGAAGGTGTAGTAGTAGTAGTAGTAAAAATAACAGTAGTAGTAGTAGTAGAAATAACCTAGTAGTAGTAGTAGTAGAAAATAACAGTAGTAGTAAGTAGAAATAACAGTAGTCGAGTAAGTTAAAAATAACCCCAGTCAGTATAGTAGGTAGAAATAACAGTAGTAAGTAGTTAGTAAGAGATAAACCCCCATAGTAGTAGGTGGGTAGTAAAATACCCCAGTAGTAGTAGTAAGTAGAAATAACAGGAGTAGTATAGTATAATAACCAGTAGTAGTAGTAGAGTTAGAAATAACCCGTGTAGTAGGAGTAGTAGTAAAAATGAACACCCAGTATTAGTAGTAGTAGTTGATAGTATGAATACCAGTAAGTAGAGTAGTAGTAACAAAGTAACCCCCCAGTAGTAGTAGTCACACAAAAATACATAGTAGTCAGTAGTAGAAAATAAACCCCACGTGATCAGTAGTAGTAGTAGTAGAAAAATAACAGTCGTTGACCTCCGTGAGTAGTAGTGTAGTAGTAGAAAATAACCCAGTAGTAGTAGAGAGTAATAGTAAGTAGAGAATAACCCAGTTATAGTTAGTTAGTAGTAGTAGAAAATACCCCCGAGAGTAGTGTAGCTTGTAGTTAAGAAATAACTAGTACAGTCTCAAGTAGTAGTAAGAATAACCACCCAGTTATTAGTAGTGAGTCGAAATAAACCCACGCTTTAGTAAGTTGAGTCAAACTAGTAGTACGTAAACCAAACCAGTGATAGTGGAAAGTTTTGGAGAAGGAAACAGAAAAATAAAAGAAGTAAGTAGTAGTAGAGAATAACCAGAGTAGTAGTATTGCTAGTAGTAGAAATAACACTAGTAGTAAGTAGTAGTAGTAGAAATAACAGTAGTAGTAGTTGTAGAAATAACAGTAGGAGTAGTAGAAATAACAGTTGACAGTAGTAGTCAGTAGAAATAACCCCTAGTAGCTAGTAGTTATGTAGTGGCGAAATAAACAGACAGCTCGAGTGTAGCGAACTCATAACGATTCAAGCTAGTTAGTAGTAGTAGAAATAACAGTCTAGTAGCTAGTGTAGAAATAACCCCAGTATAGTAATACTTACAAATCAACACGACAATAACATTAGTAATAGAGTAGAAAACATTATAATATAGTTAGTAGTAGTAAAAACTGTAGAATAGAAGTATTAATAATACAAACAGTAGAATATTGTTAACCACATGCCAACAGGGATGGCATGTGCGTACATGTCATGCCCACGGTGTTTAATTTAGTAATTGTTTTTACATAGAGATGATTCCACAAGTACTCGGTCACTAATGAGCCAGTTACGAGAAGTATTAGTCTCCCCTGTTTAACCTTTTCCTTTCTTTTCAATATTATTTTCAAGTTAGATTAGTAATGCCAATAACAATATAGTAATTACATTGTTTACAACAGAAATAACAGTATCAATATTGATAGCATTAGTAAAAAAAGCATATTTCCCGCTAACTCAAGGAAAGGTGAGGTCACAAGATATACTAAATGAATCCTTTGTGCAGAAACATTTAACATAACACTAAAGTGAATGCAACATTTTCCCAGCAGCATTGGGTTAATATTCATAATGTTTATATATTTTTTTGTACTCCAAAAGCTTGCATCATGGGGTAAGTGATGTTGATTGCCTTAGTAATAACTCATTAGTATATTGGTGCTTGTGGAGCCATCTACATGTAGAGTACAATAAAAAAAATTAAAAAAAGCAATCAAAATAAAAGCAATAAAATAGGACTTTAGTTCACATGCACTCCTGTCATTCAAAAATGACTGCTGGTACAAGGAGCTTAAAAGGAATACATTTTATTCTCTTCTTGATTAATTATAGTACAGTATACATATACATATTTTGTGTGAGCCATCAACATGAACATAAGAAACAAAAGGAAACCTAAAAATCAGTTAATTTTCTTAATACAACCTATGATTATTTCTTTTTTATCTCATTTTACTGTCAATAGATATGATAACAATATCACTCAATATGATAACCCATAGTCCGTTATCTCATTTTCTTTAGTAAAACCAATCAGTTCTCCATTTTTAGAGTTCTAACAATGCTGTATCTGAAGTGCACTTTCCTGGTGAAACTAGATAAATTATAAAACAAGTGGTGCTCTCTACTTCTTCATAATAACAGTTTATATCAGAATTATCTTAAAGCAACACAAATATTCTTAACATCTATTCCAAAAAAATCATTCCAGCAATTATATACCTAACTGATAAAGCCTGTGTGATCCAACAATACATTGGGTCTACACTGAGTATGAAAAAAGGGGGTGGGAGTATAGCATCCACAACAGTTTGCTTTCTCCTAGACTGATAAAAGTAAGATACTTTTCCTGTACAAGACAGACGTCTCAATTTGACAGATATTTTATAATTTCTTCACTGCAATAAAAATAATTTAGGTTTTATGACGGTCACTCATTTACATCTCCCAACAATATCAGGGAAATTGTTGTATTTAAGCAATGATTAACAAACCCCCATTACATCTCTTCTGTCAAGACAAGATCCATGCTAAAGAGGCAGGCCATAAAACGCACACAAGGGGCAGGATTCAATTATATATTTTTTTTTTTCATTTACTCAGTACATCAAATAATTCTATTCTATTCATAATGCCTATGTCAATAATGAAAATTTCTTTCAAATTATTTACTTATTGATTTCTTACAGGTAACCTTGTACAATAGGTAAATTTCAAACCAATTCTAACCCCCAATATTTTAATAAATGTTAGGAGACTCCTCCTGTGTTTCTAAATAAGATTTTATCCACAAATATATAGCCCATATTCCCATTGAGCTCACTAACAGCTAACTGATTTGTAGCAGATGATCTAGAATAGCAACTCCTATGATTGCCAATGGTGTGTTTACCTTTAGTCCTTTCATACAAGTAAACAAACCACCCCATAGCTTTATTCAACAGAATCTATCTATAGTGACAATATTGGCCCTGAGAGCTGGGAAAGAGAGTACCAGGAAAATTATACCAAAGGCAAATGTCAAACTGTGCCAATAACAACAAATTATGCTTAGATCACACAAACTCAAGCTATATGATTTCTAGGAAGCTGCATCTCCCTGCAAATGTCTAGTAAACATCAATCAATATTTATCCCAAGAAACTGCAAACATTATGCGGTTAAAGTATACAAAAGGACCACACCAAACAAGGGAGACACGACAATCTTCAGGGTAGTCTCTGCTCATTCGTTCGAGCTGGGAACTTGGTGACTAATGGCTGCAGTCCTGCTGCAATCTTTACCCATTATGCGAAATATCTTTCAAGAACTGACGTCATCAATAAACATCAACATGATTCACAACACTTTACTCAGTCCAGAATACATTTTATAGTCCTAAACATTTTTGTCTTGAGAGAAACCACAAAAATTCTCAAAGCCATCACACATTTCACTGATAAACCAGAATAAAAGACAGGTCAAGGTCAAAACTAAGCCTTATACCCAATGAGGCTACCTTTCCAAGACAATAACAAATACAACAACCAACTTTTGGGACCTAGAACCATCTCTGCAAATGGGTGGAATTAACACCCTTATGACTAGAAACATAGACTATCCATTAAGGTGAAAATCAATCAGCCATGCAGTATCAAAGAACAAAACAACAAAGAAAGGTCAAAAAAGTGCTTGCCAGGTCCTAGATTCTGAGAGAGGGAGCTCACTGGAATCAATAACCCTCCACATGAAACCCTATTTCATTTCGTATTTTCACTCCTTCTCCCCTCATTTCATCCATTTTTCTCTTCAAGCTCACCTTCCTCTTTACCAGAACGACCGAACTACGCGAATTCCCCGATAAATTCACGCCTTGATTTAAATCCATCGCGGCAATAAGGCGAGACTTCTAGAAGAAAATCATATGGCCAGCCTTTGCTTCTTGTGCTTCCAAATTTAGCTTTCCCCGGGAGAATTGAGGGAAAATATACAACCAAAGTGCACGAGGGGGAAACCAGGTCATGCTCGAGGCCGGACGTGACACGAGCATGACGGCAGGCACAGGGAGGTTACCATGTGGCATGGGTTATTACGTAATGCCTCAGGACTTGACACGGGATGGCATGGCGGAGATATAGGGGTGGAAAAAAGGGACGCGGAGTCGCCCTATTCTCGCCCTCTCGCTGTGAATATACAACGCGCGGGCATTTCATTCCGCAAGAAAGGCTTAGATTTATCACCGAGCTACAGGCTGGACTGGACAATGAGGGGGAAATACTCACGGTGTGGAGCGTAAACTGTAGTCATTCGTGATGGTCTCGATGCCGCCCTGTCTCGCAACGGCAATGTAACACCCGTCGTTCCCGAAATCGATTCCGATCACCGACATTGTTGCTAAGTAAGAGTGTAAATCACCAGTCAGAAGTCTCAGTGGCTGCTTTTACCACTTCTTCCGCCGAGGTGGGAGTGAAGGAGACTGCGTTGTACGAGTCTCTATAACTTTCCCGTGCCACTGCCAATGACACACTGACGAAAATTCTAGAGCACGAGGCCGGTTAGGCTCACACGCTAGCTCTCCTCTCCAGACTATACCATTTTACAATTTCTGTGATACCATTTTATTCAATTATTTATCATCGTCCATTTCAGCTTTATTATTTCTGTTTTTTGACCGGAGGTGAAATGCAATGTGGGCTTTGCTAGGCTCACGCGCTAGCTCTCGTCCCTTTACAATATCTTTTTTTGAATTCTTACTCGTCTTTTTATATTAGGAATTTATCCTTCGCCTTGAAGCGTTCTCTTTCTATGTAAGAATAACATTTCACGGGGACATTTCTTTATATTCCTTCTATATATAAAG